TTTGTATTGAAGTCCAACTGCAATCACATCAGGGCACGCTTTAATTTTTGATTGACTTTGGCTTCTAAGAGAATCGAGCAAGGAAAGCTTTGCAAACAGCAATACTTAAGTTTTAGAAGCTGAAAGGTAAATATTCACCTCCCAGAGAGGCTCCACCTGCAAGAACAGAAGTGGCACCACATGTTTGTCAGTCTCCCAGAAATGAAATAAAAAGCAACCAGTGCATGACATGGAAACAACACACCTGAGCCATCTATAACCTGCTTTAAAAAGACCCAAATACCTCCTGTCTGTACTACTGGGATGTGCTCAATAAAGATTATTGATATATAAACCCATTAATAGTTCATTTACTACAGCAAGGCTGCCCTGACTACCCTCAGCAAGATGGGAAATCTCAATAACTCAAGGACATAATTTAAAACCATTCTAAGAGCAAAGTGACAAGCTCAGCTTTCAGCGAGCATCTTGATTTACCTGGTCACACTAAAGAAACAGCTGAACCTTCCCAAGATATAAAATTAATCCTTCTATGAAAAGGCACAGTGAGACTGTTCTGAGCATAAGCTCAGCTCACAGGACAGTTTAACAGTTTAACTGCACAGATGCCCATGGGAAATGCAGCATAGTCTCAAATACCCAGACCCCTGCTGAGTAAAGAACTTGCCATTTAAGCTTCCACTCGTGGACACGGTGTTGTTCTGTTTCTGGTTGTCATAGGCTGGACCAATATTGGCAAGATCCTGCAAGAGATCAAATAATCTGCTGTACAGCCTTGGTCAAAGGGAACACTCCCAGTCTGAGCAGGGCACTCCAGCTACCGGGGCTGCCACCCACTGCTGGCACAACACAGGCTCACAGCAGAGATCTTCCCCTTCACTGAGCAGAGAGCTACCAGAGGGACCCCCCACTCCCCTCTCAGCTCCCCACTTTCCTCCTGTCTCCCATCACATACCTGGTCTAGAAGCCCAAATTTGGGGTAATCTTCCTCTGGGTCTTTACTGCCTGGGTCTGGATGCTCTTTCACCAGGAACACGTCTCTTTCTTTACACTAAAACAGAGGAGTTTGAGTTACACAGGGTAACATCATAACAAATTCATTAACAAGAGTTTAAATCCCAACAGTTCCTACTGCTATGTATTAGGTAAATCAGCTGCTGAAGAAGCATCAGCATCTTCACCCTATAGCTCCAAGCCCAGCCCTCAGCACACACAGACGTCAGAAACCCAAAATTTGTGGGAATTCTTCCACAGATTTACCCTCAATTCTTACCATGGTTTTGACAATATTATTGGGCCAAGTCATTTTCCCAGGCCTCTGCCGTGTTGTCATACACTCCCAGTATTTATCAATAAACGGGATAATATCCTGCAAGAACAGAAAACATTGGTGTGAGCTCCTCCTCACTGACACCATCACTGACGTGAGCCCGCGGGCGGATCCCAAACAGCCAAACCTTATCCTTGGAGAACATCGTTTTGGGGTGCTCATCTTGTGTCCTCGACTGCCACGTGAGGTTGGCCAGAGCACTAAGGCACATTTCCTTGAGATCTGAGAAACCAAACACCCCAGGGCTACAGTTACACTTGGTGGGAAGATCACTGTGTGTACACAGTGAACTGCAAAACCTCCCAAATTCTGTCCTGACTCAGCCCTCACTGAACCAGTTGCACCACCTCATAAATTAGTAGTGAAACACTTCTTGAAGAAGCCACACATGGGTGTAAATATGGGATTTTGGGTCATTTTCCAAAAGTCTCAGCAGAGCCCTCCCACCGACTTCAGACAAAACCAACCCCCCCAGGCTGATCTTGCACAAAACATCTCCCAGGGTGCTCTTCCCAAACTCACTCGCTTGTTTCCTCAGGAAGTACGTGTTCCCGCTGTGGTGGCACACATTGCAGTGGAAGCTGTAGTTGGTCATGAAGGGCAGACAAGACCTAGGAGAAAGCAGCTTTGTTAGGGGTGGGTACAGCGTAGTTATTATATCAGGTTAAAGAATCCCGGAATTTCTGAGGTTTAAAAAGACCTCTGAGACCACTGAATCCAAGCTGTGCCTGATCCCCACCCTATCCCCAGCCCAGAGAGCTGAGTGCCACCTCCAGCGATTCCTTGGACACCTCCCCTTGCCCTGTCCCTGTTCCCTGGGAGCAGAGCCCGAACCCCCCCAGCTGTCCCCTCCTGTCAGGGAGTTGTGCAGAGCCACAAGGTTTCCCCTGAGCCTCATTTTCTCCAGGCTGAACCCCCTTCCCAGCTCCCTCAGCACTTCCTGGTGCTCCAGACCCTTCTCCAGCTCTGTTCCCTTTCCTGAACGTGCTCCAGCCCCTCAATGTCCTTCCTGGAATGAAAGAAAATTAATTATTCTGTACTACACTGCATTAAGAAACTAATTATTCCAGGTTAAAATCCAATCAGTTCTTCCTTCCCTAAAACCAGAAATATCTTAGAGGCTCAGTGGGGGTGCTTTTATCATGGACAAAGCTTTATTTACACAACACACCAGTTCCCAAGTGTTCAAGGTCCTTGGGAACCTTCAAGGTCCTTGGACAGGTCCTTGGGAACTCAGACTCCAAACACTCCACTTCTGCTCCCAAAGCGGCGTGCTGCCCCTGCCAGCGGTCACGTACGTGGTGTCGATGCCGAAGGTGTCAGCTGTGAACCACTTGGTGCAGATCCCACATTGCAGCTCGATCTCGCCCAGCTGCCGCACGTTCTCCTCGTCCCCCGAGCCGCCCTGGACATCCATGGCCTCGGCGCCGTCCCCAGCAGCGTCCTGGAAGCGGAGCAGGGCCGGGAATCAAAGCGTGCCCGCGGCAGGCAACACGGGCTTCGGGCAGCAGCGTGCCACGATGGCATTTCAGAGGGAATAAATCCTTTCCCCTGATCCACGGCCTCGCTGCGAGCATGCTGGAGCTGTTCTGTACACGCAGCTCGTGAGGATGAGCCACACGGGTGAAGATTTAATTTCCAGAAGAAGTTTTTAAGGAGGCAGCGCTGGCGCTGGGGGACGCTCCCGTCGGGGCCGCACCAAGCCCTCCCTGCCCACGGCACCTACCAGCGGCTCCTTCCCGTGGGCCGACTCGGTCTCCAGGCCCGCGCTGACATCGACCACGGCGGCGTCGGCCCTGCCAGGGCACACGGGTCAGAGCGGAGCCCGCAGCGGGGCACAGCCGGGACCCGCTGTCGCCCGGGCCGAGGGACCCCCATCCCCGTTCCCCTGATAACGGGGCAGGTCCCGCGGAGCCCTTAGGGTACGGGGAGTGCGGGGGTCCCAGGGGCCCGCCCAGGGAGGGACATACCCGGTCTCGGCGTCGGCGGCGGGCGGCTCTGGCGGGGCCGGGGGCTCCGGGGCCGGGGGCGGCTCCGGGGGGGGCTCGGCGCCCTCAGCCGCCGCTGCCGCCGCCATGTTCGCGCGCTCCCGCGAGAAGCGAGCGGATCTCGCGAGCCTTCGCGCGTGGAGGAGCGCTGGGCTCGGGGGCCCCGCCGCGGCCGAGGGCGCCCCCTGGCGGCGGCCGCCGGGAGCACAGCGCGGGGAGGCGTGACGTCACCCTCCACGGCCGTGACGTCACCCGCCGCAGCCTGGGCGGGAGGCGCGGGGCTGACGGCGGCGGAAGAAACCGGGAGCAGGTCCCCGGTTCCCAGTGCCCCGCGGGAGGCGGTTTCCCCCCGGGAGGGACGAGCGCCTCCTCTCTGAGAGGCGGGCGGGGGGGTCCCCGCGTGGGCACCCCCACCCCAGAGAGATTGGGGCGCACGGGTGCCCCAGGTCCCGCTCCCTTCTCCACGGAACGGGACGGGACGGGCTGGGCTGGGGATGCCCCCGGGTCACTCGTCCCCAGCAGCCCCGGGCTCTGCGGCTCTGGGGACAGCAGAGGCAGGCGGGGGTGGCCCCCCCGACCCCCGGCCACAGGGACGGAGGGAGGGAGAGAGAGGGACGGTGGTGGGGACGACCCCGGGAGGGACGCAGGGAGAGAAGGACCGGGAGAAAGAGAAGAACCGGAGGAATGCAGGGGTGAGGCAGGGATGGATGGATGGATGGAATGATGGATAAGGCTGAAGGCAACGAGAGAAGGATGGGGAGAAGGAGAGAGGGAGAAAGAGTAGGGAGGGAGACGAGGGACATGGAAACTGAGAGGGATGGCAGGGAGGTAGATGGGGGTGGAGGGGAGGGGGGATAGAGATAGGGACGGAGGAATGGGAAGAGGGACGGGGAGAAGAGGGGAGGGGGCTGTCAGGGAGGGGGGTGCCGGGGCCGCCCGGGGCGGCGCTCGGGGCCGCCGTACAAATAGGGCGGCCGCGGGTGGCCCGGGCAGACATGCGGGTCCCGCTCCTCTCCGTGCCCGCGCTGGCGCTCTGCGCCCTAGCCCTGTTCTGCCTGGGCTGCGCTCCGACCCGGGCACTCACCTGGGCACCGACCGGAGCATCCACCCGGGCGCTCCCCTGGGCACCGACCCTCGCCCCGGCCCGCTCCCCGCCGCGCTGCCCCGCGCTGATGCTGCAGTTGCTCCGCGCCCCTCCCGCCCCGCTCCGCGCCGCCGCCGCCGCCGCTCTCAGCCTCTCCCCACACGGTGAGTGGGGCCGCGGGCATCCCTGTCCTGGGACCGCCACCGTCCCCGGGGCTCCCAGCGTCCCCGAACATCCCTGTCCTGGGACCCGCACTATTCCCAGGACGGGCACCGGTCCCGGGCAGCCCTGTCTCCGGGATCAGCACTGTCCCTCTTTCCAGGACTGCCACTGTCCCCGAGCTCCCCTGTCCTGGGACCAGCACCATCCCCGGGACCTGCACGGTTCCCATGAAACCCTGTCCAGGGATCCCCGCAGTCCCGGGCATCCCTGTTCCCAGCCCTGCCTGTGGCTCTCGCTGGCTCTCAGGTGGATCCAGCTGCTTTCTCCCACGGCAGGGATGGTTCCCCGGCAGTGGGCGAGGGCACCGTACCCCCAGCTCTGGCACCCCTGGCACCAGGTCCCCTCACCGTGCCCTTGGCTTTCAGGCTCCCTGCAGAACGGCTCCCGCTGGGCGCTCTCCTTCGACATGTCCTCCCTCTCCAGCAGCCAGGAGGTGAACCTGGCTCAGCTCCGTGTCCGCCTGCCCGGCCTCTCCCGTGCCCACAACGTGTCCCTGGACATCTACCACAGCCAGCGGCGCAGGTGCCGGGGAGATGGGACCTGCGCCCACCAGCTCTTCCTGGGCACCGTGGCTGACAGCCCCTCTGCCACCCAGGCCTCCTGGAAAGTCTTTGAGGTCACCAACCTGCTGCGGTCCTGGCTCCACCAAGCCGCGGTCGCTGGGCACCACAGTCCCACGGGAAGGGGGCAGTGGGAGCTGAGCGGGCTGGCTGCCCCGGCCAGCGCTGCCCTGACAGACACCGGCCACGGGGACCCAGCGCCGCCCCAGGACGTGGCAGACAGAGTCCTGCTGCTCGTCTTCTCCAAAGACAAGTCTCCGGGGGACCACAGCCTCATCAGGACCGCGGAGACCTCCAAGTACATCATGCGTGACGGCGGGGCGCGGGGCGCGGGGACGCGCCGGCACCGCAGGAACAGGATGGAGAGGCAAAGGATCAAAGCGAGCGACGCTGCCGCGGCCGTCCCGCGGGAGCAGGGCAGGGCCCTGTGCAGGCGGGTGGACATGATGGTGGATTTTGAGCAGACGGGCTGGGGAAGCTGGATCGTCTACCCCAAGAAGTACAACGCCTACCGCTGTGAAGGGCTGTGCCCCTCACCCGTGGACGAGACCTTCAAGCCCACCAACCACGCCTACATACAGGTAAGAGGGGATGCTGCCCCTGCATCCCCCACATCCCCCACACCCCCTGCCCGCAGCACAGGAATGTTCTGCCCTTCCCGTGTCTCCCACAGAGTTTGCTGCAGCTCTACAAGCCCAACCAGGTGCCGTGTCCCGCCTGCTCCCCAGTCAAGATGAGCCCCCTCTCCATGCTCTACTACGAGAAGGGTGAAATCGTTGTCCGCCACCACGAGGACATGATCATCGAGGAGTGTGGCTGCAACTGAGACCACCCTGCTCCCTGCCAGGAAGGTGCACATCTGTGCCCAAAAGTGCCCCGAGGACCAGCCACCCAAGGCAGGAGCACTGCACAGAGCAGGGTGTCTCTGAAGCCCGCGCTCCTGGGGTTGGCACAGCCCTGGCCGGAGCTGGGGAGGATCGGGTGCCCGGCAGTTCTGCAGCACTGCACGGCCACAGTGCCTGGCTGGATCCGGGCTCCACGTGGAAAAGGCCACCAGGCACCTCCCTGTGAGAGGAGCAGCTCTGGAGCTGTGGGTGCCTCGTGCTGTGTTTACCGAGGAGCTGTGTGGGACAGAGGCAGAGCTGAGGGGCAGGACTGGGGCACTGCAGCGTCGCTCCCTGCCATGGCTCAGGCAATGCTGCTTCTCCCAGACACGGGAATCACCAGGAGCCACAGGTTCTCAGGACCCTGCAGCTCCAGTGTCTGGCCATGCTGAACATCCACGCCACTGGGATTTTCCATCTCCCCTAGGGTTTAGGCATTTCTCCTAAGAATTCTATTATATGTCTATTAAAACTATCAGATTTCTATTGCAACTCAGACAAGTTAATGTATTACCCAGCGTCCAGAGCCCCAGCTGGCAGATCCAGGTGGGCAGCTGTTACAAACAAGTAACCACAGCTCTGCTCAAGCCTTTTCCCCCTCGCTGGATGGGGTGGTACGAAAAGGTCACAGCTGTACAATTCACCAATAAATTATATATATTAAAAGTGCCCACTGGATTCTGCTGAGTTTTGATGTTGGTGGTCTGCCAGGGCGTGAGGGCAGGTGGACTCTGGCTGCTCCTGAAGCTACCAGAGCAAGGGGGTCCCTCCAGGAGTGCAAAGGATGCTCGAAAGCTCCAAAGCTCACATGAGATAAGGACGAAGCTGTTCCCATCCTGATGAGGGAGGGAGCAAGGGAGGCACCTGCAGGCGTGGGAGGGGAGGCTGAAGGGATTTTTCCTCCTTTATTAACCCTCGGGCGCTAAGGGAAGGGCCGCGCCCTGTAAGAGCAGTGAATTCTAAGCCATGTGGCGCTGACAACTCCTTTGGGTCACCCATCGGGAGGGGCGATGGGGCTGGGGGCGATGCGCGGGGTCCCGAGCGTGTCCTCCCGCAAGGCAGCGAGGCTCAGTCCCCGGGTGTGACCGAGCTGCAGCCCCGCTTCACAGCCGCCTCCACGGACGGGACACACGCGTGGGGAGCTCCTGGTGGTCCCCAGCAGCAGCGGGCACGGGCGGAACCGTGCAGGACGGGACAAGGGCCACCCCCATCCCGCCCCTCCCCAGCAGCAGCCCCGACTCCACATCCCAGCCCAGCCTGATTATCCCCAATCCACATCCCGGCCGGCGGATAAACAAAGCGTGTCTGCTGCTCCCCCGCCCCAGCAGACCCTCCCCGGGGCCGCTTACATATTCCAGCAGCTTTCACACCGCCGCTGGCCCGTCATTCGAGGGTCATTTGCAGCAGCTGTCAAGGCTGGGCCGGGGGCGCGGGGCTGACCCCCGGCAGGAGGCAAAGCAGGAACCTGCACATCTGCGCTCCGGGTGATGTAAAATTACATTATTTTGCCTCTTTCTCCGCAGTTTCGTTACTCCTGCTCACAAAGTGCTCCAAAGCAGGAGGATTCACTCCCCCAGCGCCCCCCGAGCCCCCCCGAGCTCTGTATCTCTGCCATCTCTGCCCCTCCGTCACGCCTGCTTGGAATCCAGCAGCGGGTTCAAAAGTTGTGCCGGGGCAGGGGGAGGCAGCAGCCGTTCCCTGGGAAGAGCAGGGTGGAAAAATAAAGGCTGGGATTCCAGGGCTGTAAGGAAAACATCAAAGTGTGGACAATGACAATAAAGTCGGGTTTAGGCAAGGATCTGCTGGCGAGCCGAGCTCTGCCAGGCTCGGGCTGTGAGGGAGGACCTGAACTGAGCAGGGAGAGCTCTGGCCCCGCTCCTGCCCCAATCTGCATCGGCTGGAGGACACAGGAGTCCAGACACGCAGGACAAAGTGGGGGACAGCCCCAGTCCTGTCACGGGGTCCTGCCTGAGCCCCTTCAGCATCCCAGAGCTGGGGGGAGCAGGCAGGTTTCTGCTCTGGAAAGGGCTGGCTTGGCCAGGGGGGACTGCAGGCACCGATTACTTTGGACACATAAAAAGGAAAAAGCAAGAACAAACAGACTGAGGGGGCTTATCACAGGCCGAGGGTGATATTTGTACAAATGGTGCATTAGAGCACGAGCTGGGCCGGGCAGGTGGTGTTTGTCCCGTGACCGGGACACAGAGCAGGACACACAGATGTGGGGCAAGACACAGGGACACCGTGTGTGTGCTGCTCTGCCTGCTTGAGACAAAAAGGGGCTGGGATGGGAAATGCAACGACAAAGCCAACTTGTCCTAAGACCTCCCTGGAGCATCCCAGCTGTGCCTCAGCCACCCACGACTGCCTCCCTCCCTCCCACTGTGCACAACTGGGCTCAGCCTGTGCAAAAAGCAGCTCCTCGGCCTGGGAGTGCGAGTGTCGGGTGGGGAACACCCCCTGGGGAAGCAGGGATGTGCCCTGGAATGCTGAGCTGCTCCTTGCAAGGCTCAGGGAAGTTTGGGGAGCTGCAAACGTGAACGCACCAAGAGACGGATCTAAAACTGTCTGGCTGAAGGATGCAGCAGCTGGGGCTGGGAGGGAGGGAAGGGAGGGAAGGACCAGAGCAACGGGATGCTGAGACCACTTGGTCCCACACCACGGGTGAAAAGGTTTAAGGAACGGGTTTAGGACAAATTGCAGCAGAGCAGATGTCCCCATCACCTCATCACATCCACTGCTTTGGTCACTGTTCTCTCTGCCCCCCACAACGCTCCCCATGGCCCCAGGGCCCTGCACCGAGAACCCAGCAGGACCCCTGCTCACACCTGGCCAGGTGTTTCAAGCGTTTCCTCCCTCCCTCTGAATTATCAGTGTCAGATGCACCTGGTGCTTTGATGCTGCCGCAGATCTGCATAAGCAGCAGATACCAATGCAAAGCTGCCCAAGGTGGGGGACACAGACAAAGTGCTTAACACCTCCAGCACGTGTTACCTCTCCTACAGGTGGGAGGGAATGGCATTTAGGAGCATTACCTGCAATACCTGCCACCCCAAAATCCATGCAGCCGCTTTTGTACTGACACCAAAGCCCAACCCCGCACGGCTCCTGCAACAGGCACGGGTGGTTGAGCTGAAATCAGCTCATTTCTCCCCAAACTGCCTGGATGTGCAGCCCTCAGCTTGGGACGGCACCTTTGGGGCGTCCCAGGGCCACCAGCACCCTGTGTCCCTCTGAAACCACACTCCTGGGTGACACAGGGACACTGCCCACACAGCTCAGGGGAGGGTGACACCAGATCCTGCTGAGCTCCCTGTCCTGCTCATCAAGGGTTCCATCAATCCAACCCTTCCACTGTAAACCCACAGCAGGGAATTCCCATGGAATTCCTAACATTCTGGTTAGGGCACAGCAGAACGAGCCCCAGCACAAGTGCAGGGATCCAGTCCCTGCAAACCCTACCCAGCCTGTCGTGGCTATTTCAGTCTTCCCTGAACAGGGGAACTTTGGGGAAATTACCATCAACATGGGAAATTTTGCTGAACCAAAAACTGCAGCTGCACCACAGTCCAGCAGTGCCATTTTAAAACAAAACCACAAATTTAGCAGAGGAAAAAGTCAGTCCCAGCTGCAGCAGCTCCTCTCTAAACCATCTTCAGAACCTAACTGGTGCAGCTGAGACTGATAAAGTCACACCTGAAGGCAATAAATTTGGATTTGTTCCCATTAAGGCTTCAGAGAAACCCTTAAATCTTATCTTAGAGAAATGCAGGTTTATCTGCAGCAATTGCTTTGTTCTGTTGTTCTTTATTGAGGGTTTGCATATCATAATGTCACCACTGAGCTTCATTAGCAGATATTTAAATGCTATCTCCCAAACCTGATTTGCACAGACACTCCTTGTGGTTTGGGAAGTCTGAAGTTCAGGCTTCCAGTGCCCCATAAGGATTTTCCTCCTCTCAGATGCCTCCACCCCCCAGCAGTAACACAGCAATGTGCCTTACATACACTTATCAAACCTCACTGAGGCTAAAAATGAAGATATTTGTTCTGGGGACCCAAACTGAATCTTCCCACAGCAAAATTAACCTTCTCTGTCTCAACCCTGTCTCAAACCCAGGTATTTTGTTTCTAACCTTCCCTGTGAAGCCCTCTCCCTCAAAGCTCTTCTCCCTGCCCACCA